TTTACTTTGATCTTTTATTTAATTTACCTTTTAGTTTTGTTTGCTTGCTTTTTTTTTTTTTTTTTTTTTTTTTTTTTTTTCTTTTGAGATAAGGTCTCCTGTGTAGCTCAGGCTGGCCTTTAGCTCTCTATGTAACCTAGGTTGGCCCCAAACTCACAGCAATTTTCCTTCCTCAGCCTCGCAGGTGCTGGAATTAAAAGCATGTACCACTATACTCAGCTTGTTTGCTTGCCTTTTGCAGTGGATTGTTTATTTGGCCACTTCTTTTCAAAGATAAAATTAATATAGTATACTATGAATGGGAGACTATAGAGAAACAAAGTTGAGACAGGTTTAAAATTACTGTATTTGTGGTTAGGATGTAGCTCAGTGGTACAAGTGCCTGCCTGGCAAGTAACTGCAAGGTCCTGAGTTTAATTCCCGGTACCAAAAAAAAAAGTGTGTACCACCACGCCCAGCTAAAATTACTGTATTTGTCTCTGTATTCTTTTTTCACTTAAATATACTTGATCTCATTTTATGAGATTCTAGAGAATGTCTTGAATTTTAGAAAGTTTTTATGCGTTCAGAGCATGTTTTATAGCAAATAAGACATTTGTATATCTAAAAGAAACGTTGTAGAAAACTGGTTTGGTAGAGAAAACATGGAGTGTGAAATTTTCCATTTAGTTTGCTGAAAAAAGAGAATGATATTTTAAGTATGAAACCCTGACCATCTGAATTAGCCATCAACAATGGCTAGCATGAACATGTTTTCACAGATGTCCGACCTCTTCTCCTCAGTCTGTCCATTTGCTCTTTTGTTACTCTATTTCATTTTGTTTCTTTTGGTTTTTTGAGACAGAGTCTCCCTATGTAATTCAGGCTGACTTTGAACTCCCATCGATCCTCCTGTCTCAGCCTTCTGAGTACTGGGACTACAGGTGTGCACTGCCACGCCAGCTCTGCCCATTAGTCCTAATGTGAAGTTGATGTTTAATGATCCCGAGTCCCCTGTCCGGGTGATGGTAGGTTTGTTTAAAAGGACTGCATGTAAGCTTTCTGGACTGTGGAGTTGCTTTGTCACTGGCTACTCACTTATTAAACATTTACTGTGTGCTTGCTGTGGACCAGACCCCGTGGAGTTGGGAGGTGAACAGGACCACATCCTTGCCTTCGAGCAGCATAGAGTGAAACAGGAAGGGCAGCTGAGTGATGAGTCCTCTAATGGAATTGCCCACTCTTGCAGAGAAAGGCAGGCTGTGCTGAGCTGGCATTTGGGGAACTCAAGTGATTTACCTTTTTAAAACGTACAGGTTTTGGTGTCCATCCTCATGAGCCTACATCTTGCCCAGCCACTCTCTGGCTTTGTGATCCTGGGGAGTGACACTTGACCCTTGGAGCCTTTGTTTTCTCATTTTAAAGACAACAGTGTTAATGCTTCCCTTGAATTTTTGTGAAGATTATAAAAGTGTTGCGTGTGGTCATTAATTGTAGAGTTAACAGAAACTAAAATGGCATAATATTCAGGATGGATTATGTTCAGAGAATTAACATAAAATATACTTTACATTCATGTTAGACTAAAGATAAAATGTGTCCCGTTTTGAGTAATTTACCTTTGTGAACAATAGATCTTTCTGCTGTAGCTGTATGTCCAAGTGCTGGCTGTGCTGGCATAGAGCTTGTGGCAGTATGGCATTATATAAATGTGACTTCATTTTCCACCTTTCCTTCCTCCTTCTCTTTTTTTCTTATTTTGAAGTACTAATTGGGCCCAGGGTCTTCGCACTGAGCTATACCCCCAGCCCTTTTTTTATTTGTTTTATTTTGAGACAGAGTCTCCCTAAATTGCTAAGTTGCCCAGACTAGGCTCAAACTTGTGATCCTCTTGCCTCAGACCCCCAAAGCAGTGGGACTATAGGACTGTGCTTGATTATTATAATTAACTAATTAACTTATTTTGAGACAGGGTCTTGTTATATAGTGCAGGCTGGCCTCAAACTCACAGTGATCCTCGTCCCTCAGCCTCCTGAATGATACAAGTGTGTGCCACCACGCCTGGCTTATTATATTTTATATCAACATTTATTGGGCTTACATTTGATAAATCATGTTCTGTTTTTAGGAATTCTGCTCTTATATCTCAATTCTTGGTGTAGACCTAGGATAGGACAACTTCTGGACTTGCCAACATATGTTGATTAGCTTGCCAAAACCCTTACCTTGATACCCCAGGCTTTCTGTGCCAGAGGTCCAGGATATGTAGCACGTTTATTCTATTTTAATCCCATCCTTCTCCTGTCTTCTAACCTCCTCCTTTTTGAGAAGTAAAGGTTGTAGCTGAAAGCTGATCAATGGCCAGTTTGCTTTTTCATTGAATAAGAGTTTGTAGAAGTGGGTGCCATGTAGTCTGAATAATCATAATTGTTCCCTGCTTTAATAATTTCCAAATGTATTTTGGCTAAAAGGTCCTAAGTGTGTGTGACATAGTATTTTAAGGGAAACCTTGCCTGTATTGCTAAGAAAATAGCCAGATTTACTGAATGGGAATATTATAATTGCTTGCATCCATGAAGAGGTTTCCCCCACTTAGTATTTTGTGGGTGTTTCTGTTGGAGCTGCCTAGGCTTGGATTCCAGTTTTACTGTTACCTAGCTGTGTGACTTGATTGAGTTATTGACTGTTCTGTGGCACCTCTGTCACATGGAGGAAATCACATTGCCTGTTGCATTACTTGTCCTGCAGAACTGTGAGAAATAGACGATAAAGTGTGATATGCATAGAACACTGCTGGATCTTGGGAAGTGCTGTTTAATTTGAGTATTCCTTATCCAAAATGCTTAGGACCAGAATATTTTGGATATGATTTTAGGAGTAAGGGTGTTCAACCTGTATAATCATCTATGATTCTCAGTAATTTTATTTTCGTATCCTGGGGATTGAACTCAGGGAGGGCTGAGCTTCCTGCCCCTCCCCCCATATGTGACAGGGTCTCAATAAGTTGTGCTGACCTCCAACTTACAATTTTCCTGCCTCAGGAAATTATAGGTACCTGAAATTATAGGTGTTCACTTCTGTGCCCAGCTTGGTATTAATTTTGTGATAACCTGGCTTTATTGAAGGGAGTAGCCGGCATAGTTCTATGAAACACTCTGTTATTCAAGAGGGCTTGGCTTCTTAGGTGTGCAGAGATTATTTGGAGGCGCATCATCCCCAGCAAGCAGGGCTGGCCTTGAGGAAGATCAAGGATGCCTGTGCTGGGCCGCAAGCACAGTATTTCCGGGCATTTTGTTCCTCAGGTAGTGCACGGTCAGGTTAGAAGCAGCTGTACTGTCACTGTGATGTGGCCTTCACTGTGGCTGTCTGATCTGCTTATGGCCATCAATAACCGAGTCCTGCTGACCAGTCCTCCTATAGCCACATCTGATGGAAGGATACAGCAAAAATCTGACATGCTGTTTGAATCTGTCTGCCATCTTATGCACATATTGGTGGGGCTAAAAATACTTACGTTACTTCAGCTTTTGTGCTTCATGTGATCTTTTTGTTTTGTATAAATTATCTCATAGTTAG